AGGTGCAGTCAAACAAATATATAACTCGACTTTGAGACCAATAGAGACTAATTAGATCAGAACTCCAAATGTTAGTGATTTSTTACTGGAAGGCAGACGTAAGACTCTCGTTTTTATTATTTGTTTGTAGCAAATATCTACGTTACATCTAATAAAGCCTTCCTCTTCTCCTTGTACRATGCGAATGGACATAAACCCGTTCAATTCAAGCTTACTGGTTCACAAAACCATCATGCTCTTGTCGGAAGGGCCGGCATTGGACCTACATTTGGCCATGGCCACGATCTGTTCATCAATAATCTTGCATCGAGCAATGAAAATTCATATACGACACCTCGTGCATACGAAGTTCCTCAAGGATGCAGTGTKTCGTCTGGTTGCGCATTTTTCGCTGGGAGCCACGTGTTTACCCCTGATGACATCGAAGTGTTTTACTATACCAGYCAAACCAGTGAGTATAAAGTTTTATATAGGTATTTGTTAGGTATTTGTTCTCCTCCTTAAATGTAAATAATTCAGAGCACAGTATGTAATTCAGGTAATAGAATTTGGAGGAGATTACCTATGGTTTTTCTCCTCATTAATTGTAAATAATTATATGTTGTATGTAAAAATTAAAAAAAATAGTTATTTAAAAATAAGTTGTCAGAATATAACGGCGATGGCACGGATATTCATGTTTTGAAAAAATAATCTTCTGAAAACCACTTTAAACAAACTACCATCGAAAATCTTTATTTGATGGAAATGGCATTCGGGGGACTCAAATGACTGATTATTTTCATAAATAATACATACGCACAGTACCTTTCGGTCGTTGAGTCTCTCTTCGCTGTGAAAACCTTTTTATTAGGTAGGTAGTAGTAGACCGACGTTTCCAAATTTAACAAGAAGTAGTCTATAGGCTGTGGAGCTGAATGCAATGATGAAATACAGGCAGGATGATCGATAGCTATCAATACCATTGTATTCAGAGAATTTAGCCTCAGGAAAAGAAAAAATAGATTCGCATAGATATACTGAGACCTTTGATTGATTGGTTGGTTGGTTGAGTGGTTGATTTGGTGCTTGGTTGCTTGGTCGTTTGGTTGGTTGGTTGATTGGTTGGTTGATTGGTTGATTGGTTGGTTGATTGATTGATTAGTTGGTTGGTTGGTTGGTTGGTTGATTGGTTGGTTGGTTGATTGGTTGGTTGGTTGGTTGGTTGGTTGATAATTTGATTCATGGTCTGAATGCCTGATTTGGATGATAGCACAGACGAAAATAAATATGAATGTTTAATTTATTGTTTGGTATAATAACAGAAGGATTAAAGAAATCTAAGATCCTGTCTGGTAACAGCAACTACATATATACCTTAAACAGCTACTTAGCTACTGCAGTGCCGAACTCCAAGACAAGTGATTGGATCAGATGTTGGCACGCTGCAGAGGATGGCTGGGATACGCGACTGACATTCCACCCTCAGTGTGACGGAAAGAAAGCCACTGTGACGATCATCCGTGTTGGTTCGTACGTGTTTGGTGGATTTACAGACAAGTCATGGCATTCTGGTAAAATGATTATCTAACATCTATTCAAAATTGATTTCAATTCACGACTTTCAAAAATGGTGCGATATGCCGTAGTCAACGACCAGGGCACTGGGGACGAAGCACCGTCTAAAACGAGGTCAGCCTACGTATAGTAAACTTCTATGGTGTCTTGCAACAACATGCCAATACATCTTTCAAACGTTTGTATACTACCTACATGCGATCTTTGTAGTGATTTCTAGATGGAATGCCTTTGAGGTCTCGTTTCCATGATTCATCACTAGTTCCCCGATATTGGAGGTCGTGAACTACCGCCATTTATGAAAGTCGTGTATGGCTTGCCTCTTTATGACGTCATGTAAATTTAGCGAAGTTTATCATGGTATTGAATGTCAAGATGGCGAATGCGTTGTGAAAACTACGGATTACGGTCTCTTTGTTTGTTTGTTTGTTTGTTTGTTTGTTTTTTTAATTTTCTGTTGTGTGTGTGCGAGATTGACGTTAACATTTATTGGGGATGATTGAGATTAACCTTTTAACCTTTGAACCTAACTAAGTACACTCAACGACCAGTCAGAGCTTGCAATGCTTGTGGGTTTGCAAAACAGACAAACAGACAGCAACATAGCTTCAGTTAGAAATTTCATCCGTGCGTGCAATGGTTCATCTCGGCATAGAATGGGATCGCCACACGATATGGAATCTGAAATATACAACATTTTGACTGGAATCTGCGGCAATGAAATCCAAATTAGTGACTTCAAATAGTTCGCAAACGAGTAATTAGCAATGAAAAAAAGCTAGATTTCTTTGCATTTAGAATCCAATACTGGCTGGAATTCTCTCCTGAACTGTGCTCAGATTGCGAAAGTGAAAAGACCGGGTGGTCAAAATTCAGCATATATTTAATGAGTATTATTATTTTCCAGGTTATATTTATGTTCCTTCAAGCAAATCTTTTCTTTTCTCCTTGTACAACACCAACGGTTACCAACCAATCATGTTCAACCTGACTGGACAGTACAACCATAAAGCCATATTTGGTGATGATGCTTATGGACCAACATTTGGCTATCCACATGACATTTACATTGTCAATCTTGCACGTAGTTCAACAAACTCGTACACACTACCCGGAGCTTATCAACCTCCAGACGGGTGCAGCTACAATAATGAATGTTCTTTTATGGCCGGAACGTTTAGATTCAAGCCAAACGATATTGAAGTATTTTATTATTCCTCTTTATAGTTTTGGTTCAGCGGTAATGTTTCTGTCAAGGCTTCTCATATGCAACCACCCAGGTCGTCTTTACAACATGTTGTAAGGAGACTTAGGTATGTTGCATGTGATGCCCCCGGGGGGGACTCCCTAATATCAAAGGGCGGGGGTCCTCGGCGGAGATTGTGGAAATGACCCCTAAAAGGGACCTCTATTGTGAGATGATGGGCGTGGCAGTGCTGAAATTTCAACCCTAAAAGGGACCAATCAATAACAGGTCATTTTGTTTTGGTTTACCGATTTTATTTGTGTTTTTACACAATCATCGAACACCGTCGGCTCGTATTGAGTTTATGACGACGTTGCCATTTTATGACTGCTTAGGGTCGCCGTATACCCTAAAAGGGACCACAAAACACAGTTGGTAGGAATTCTTGTCATGATCACCCTAAGCGGGACCAAAATACTGATTTCAAACCCTAAAAGGGACGCCGAGGACCCCCGCCCTTTGATATTAGGGAGTCCCCCCCCCGGG